TCTCTTGACCTCGTAATCCACCCGCCTCGGCCTCCCACAGTGCTGGGATTACAGGCACGCGCCACCATGCCCAGCTAATTTTTTGTATTTTTAGTAGAGACAGGGTTTCACCATGTTGACCAGGATGGTCTTGATCTCTTGACCTTGTGATCCACCCGCCTCGGCCTCCCAAAGTGCTGGGATTACAGGCTTGAGCCACCGCGCCCGGCAGAAACTTTTACTTTCATACAATATTCACACTCTTACTTCTGTTCTCTCTCGGGGTGGTTTGCCCCATCCCCTTCTCTGTCTCTTTCTCTCTCTCTGAACATGTACTCTATCCAGCCTCACTTGGCCCAGATTCCCTCACCCTTGGCCCTCTGCTACCCAACTTATGCCCACTCTAGGCTGGTCCAGAGTTGTGGGAGGGATTCCCATGGCCTTTCTGCCCTCAAAGGGAGACTCTCTCTCCACCTCAGCTGCTAAAGACCTTCCCTACCCTCCCTCCTCAAGCTTTTATCTGGTCTGTTCCTCCTCACCCCTTCAACCACAGCTGCTCCCCGACTCTACCAACTCCACAGAGCCAGGAATGTGAACTCCCTCATTTGCACGCCCTACCCTAACCCAGGTGATCTCCATGCTCTTCTCATCCTTCTTTCCCCCTGGATTCTGATTTCTCCTTCTGAGAGAGGCCAGCAACTACTTTGGGGTTGACCCTTGTCATCTCTAACTTTTGTGGGACATCTCTTCCTTTCTGCATCTTCTGACTCTTCCTGCATCTTCCCTGCCCTCAGCCCACAGACACCTCCCCAACCCCTGTCCTGCTGCCACGAGCCCAGCCTCCTCTCTAAACTTCCGCTTGTCAGAACGTGGACCTCTCACCTCTCTCTCTCCATCACCTCCTTTCCACTCTTCAATTAGGCTTCTGTCTCCCACTACTCCACGAAACTGCTCTCACCAGGGTAATCGATGCCAGCCACATCTTCAAATTTAATGATATCCATTCAGTTCTCTTTTTTTGTTTTTGAGATGGAGTCTCACTCTGTCATCCAGGCTGGATGGAGTGCAGTGGCGTGATCTCGGCTCACGGCAACCTCCACCTCCTGGGTTTAAGCAATTCTCCTGCCTCAGCCTCCAGAGTAGCTGGGACCACAGGCATGCACCACCATGCCTGGCTAATGTTTTGTATTTTCAGTAGAGTTTTACCATGTTGGTCAGGCTGGTCTCGAACTCCTGACCTGAAGTGATCTGTCTGCCTCTTGGCCTTCCAAAGTGCTGGGATTACAGGCATGAACCACTGAACCCACTGAACCTGGCTCACAACACAATTTTGTATATAATTCAGTTGATTCCTTTTCTTTAAATTTTTATTTTTTGGCGACTCTGCCAGGACTTTTCTTTTTTTTTTTTTTAGAGACAGCATCTCTTATATTGCCCAGGCTGAGTGCAATGGCACAATCATAGCTCACCGTAGCCTCGAACTCTTGGGCACCTCAGGCTCCTGAGTAGCTGGGACTACAGGTGCGCATCACCATGCCTGGCTAATTTTTAAAATTTTTTTTGTGGCAATGAAGTCTCACTAGGCTACTAACGAACTCCTGGCCTCAACCAATTCTTCCACCTCAGCCTCTCAAAGTGCTGGGATTATAGGCATGAGCCACTGTGCCCCATCCTGATTCCTTTGCTTAAACTTTTTTTTTTTTTTTTTTTTTTTTTGAGACGGAGTCTTGCTCTGTTGCCCAGGCTGGAGTGCAGTGGTGCAATCTCGGCTCACTGCAACCTCCACCTCCTGGGTTCAAGCAATTCTCTGTCTCACCCTCCATGCCCAGCCAATTTTTGTATTTTTATTAAAGATGGAGTTTCATCATGTTGGCCAGGCTGGTCTTGAACTCCTGACCTCATGATTCACCTGCCTCAGCCTCCCAAAGTGAGCCACTGAGCCTGGCTGGAGCTGAGCTTTTTATATTTTTTTAAATTTTAGAGACAAGTCTTGCTCTGTCACCCAGGCTGAAGTGCAGTGGCATGATCATAGTTCACTGCAGCCTTGAACTCCTGGGCACAAGTGATCCTCCACCTCAGCCTCCCAAGTTGTTAGGATTATAGCCATGGCGAGGAGTGAGCTTTTAATACTAGGGAAGGAGTCAAGACTATAGGCTAGAACTGGGCTCCTTGCAAAAAAACCAGGAGGCAGGAAAAGAGTTGTCCTCTCTGTTAAAACTACCCGTTCATTGCCTGGAAAATATGGACAGAATTGAAAATGGGTCACTCAGTCCAGTCCATGAGAAGCATTCATGTCAATCCTGAGATGTCATAACTTCTGTCCTGGGCAATGTGCGACTGGATGGCTACTATTCTGCATTACTTTCTTGATATAGAAACCCCAATATCAAAATAACCCCAGCCCAAGATAAAAACCTATCCAGAGCCAGTGAATCACATTGGTCAGAAGCAATTCACAGTTAATTCAAAACTCAAGGAATTAATAGAATTCTATAGAGGAAAAGTTCCTGGAAGATATGTTCACAAACAAAAATTACAGAACAAGTGAGGAAACCTAGTACTGTAAGACAGTCTGCAAATCATAGATGATAGTGTAATCTAACAGGTTCAAAAATTTGTAAATTTTATTGTGGTAAGAACACAACATAATTGGCCATCTTGCGTCCCCACGTGTGTGTACCTAATCTCAGCTGGTCCACCCGAGACCTCTTGAGCACCAACCCTAGTCCCCCGCACGACCCCTTATCCGCTCCGACAAGATGAAAGAAACAATCATGAACCAGGAAAAACTCGCCAAACTGCAGGCACAAGTGCGCATTGGTGGGAAAGGAACTGCTCGCAGAAAGAAGAAGGTGGTTCATAGGACAGCCACAGCAGATGATAAAAAACTTCAGTTCTCCTTAAAGAAGTTAGGGGTAAACAATATCTCTGGTATTGAAGAGGTGAATATGTTTACAAACCAAGGAACAGTGATCCACTTTAACAACCCTAAAGTTCAGGCATCTCTGGCAGGGAACACTTTCCCCATTACAGGCCATGCTGAGACAAAGCCGATGACAGAAATGCTACCCAGCCTCTTAAACCAGCTTGGGGCAGACAGTCTGACTAGTTTAAGGAGACTGGCTGAAGCTCTGCCCAAACAATCTGTGGATGGAAAAGCACCACTTGCTACTGGAGAAGAGGAGGATGAAGTTCCAGATCTTGTGGAGAATTTTGATGAGGCTTCCAAGAATGAGGCAAACTGAATTGAGTCAACTTCTGAAGATAAAACTTGAAGAAGTTACTGGGAGCTGCTATTTTATATTATGACTGCTTTTTAAGAAATTTTTGTTTATGGATCTGATAAAATCTAGATCTCTAATATTTTTAAGCCCAAGCCCCTTGGACACTGCAGCTCTTTTCAGTTTTTTGCTTATACACAATTCATTCTTTGCAGCTAATTAAGCCGAAGAAGCCTGGGAATCAAAGTTTGAACCCAAGGTTAAAAAAGTCTTTTGCCAATTAAAAAAAAAAAAAAAAAAAAGAACACAACATAATTTTCCCTCAACGAATTTTTAAGTATACAATATTATTGTTGACTATAGGTTCAATGTGGCATAGCAGATCTCTAGAGCTTATTATTCATCTCGCTTAACTAAAAAGTTGTGCTCATTGACTAATAACTCCCCACTTTCCCTTTCCCCCAGCTCCTGACCATCACCATTTTATTCTTTGATTCTATGAATTTAACTATTTTACATACATCATGTAAATAGAATCATCCAATATTTGCCATTCTGTGACCAGGTTATTTCACTTAGCATAATGTCCTCAAGGTTCAACCACACTGTCACACAGAATTTCCTTCTCCTTGTACTTTGTTTTTAGATATTGGGTCTTGCTCTGTTGCCTAGGATGGAGTACAGTGGCAAAATCATAGCTCACTGCATCCTTGAACTCCTGGGCTCAGGCAATCCCTCTGGCCTCAGCCTCTGGAGCAGCTGGGACTACAAGCCTGGGCCCCTTCTCCTGGCTCCATAAATTTCCTTCTTTTTAAAGGCTGAATAGTATTCCATTGTATATGCATACCATACTTTTATTTATTTATTTATCTCTTGATGCACATTTAGATTGTTTCCACATCTGGGCTATTGTGACTAGTGCTGCACCGAACGTGCTGGGATTACAGGCTTGAGCCACCACGCCCGGCCTTAAATTCTTTTTTTCTTTTTTTGAGATGGAGTTTCACTCTTGTAGCCCAGGCTGGAGGGCAATGGCGCAATCTCGGCTCACTGCAACCTCCGCCTCCTGGGTTCAAGCAATTCTCCTGCCTCAGCCTCCTGAGTAGCTGGGATTACAGGTGTGCACCACCACAGCTGGCTAATTTTGTATTTTTAACAGAGACAGGGTTTCACCATGTTGGTCAGGCTGGTCTCAAACTCCTGACCTCTGCCGCTGGAGTTCAAGCAATTCTCCAGCCTCGGCCTCCCAAGTAGCTGGGATTACAGGTGTGTGCCACCATGCCTGGCTAATTTTTGTATTTTTAGTAGAGACGGGGTTTTTGTCATGTTGGCCAGGCTGGTCTCAAACTCCTGACCTCAAGTGATCTGCCTGCCTTGTTCTCCCAAAGTGCTGGGATTATGGGCGTGAGACTCCACATCCAGCCCCAGCCTTATTTTAGAGATGAGAAAATGATATTTATGAAAGTTAATGCCAACTAGCTAAAGTCACATAGATTTCTGATTGAAGGCCTCAAGCTCTTAACCACTGTTTACACTGCTTCACTCACCACGTGCTATTTTAATTATATACAAAGGTGTCTATTTCCCCCAAAGGACTAGGAGCAGCTCAAGGTCAGGACAGAATTGGATTTATTTCTGTGTTATCAATAAATATTTGCTTTATTGAATCTGACTGACAGCTTTGAGGATGGAGTTGATATTGGGTGGGTGTCCACAAGAATTGAAGGTGGAGTTAGTTTAGAGATTGGTGGGTAGAAGTGTGTTTGTGGGCAAGAGGTATCTTTGAAGCCTTATGGAAAGAGGAACTTGATGAGTGAGATACCCAAAGGAAGCTGACTAGGAGTCGAGTCTCTGGCCCTGCAGCTGGTTCTCCTTGGATGGTTCTTCTGTTTTTCGGGGTTGGGGACATTGGGCAAGGTAGGAACGCATGGAGTGCGTTCCTACCTTGCCCAAGGGGGTAGGTGGGGTGGGTGTGATTGTGCAGAAAGGGCCACATCACACGCATCCACACTCCTCATTGGACTTTTGGATGCAGAAGAGAGAAATGTGGAGCTCATTCCACAGAGAAAAAAAAAATCCTGATTCAAAAATCAAGTAAAATGTCAACGATGGAGACACTGAGTGAGGGGTAGATGGGAACTTTCTTTGCCATCCTTGTAACTTTTTTTGTAAATCTAAAATTGTTCTAGAATAAAGGCTTATTAAAGACAGAAAAGCAAGTTACAGCTGAACTGATGGCTGGAACCCCAGAAGAGCACAACCTCTGAACAGAGAAGGGAAAAATTCTGCTGTCCTTAGCCAAGCTACTTCCCTGCTCTGAACTTCAATTTGTTCACCTGCAAAATGGAGAACTATCTTTTTGCAGAGTACCTGCTGGAGATACGGTGATAATGAAATGAGAGAAGGGACAGGAAGGTGGATCAGGACCTCAGCAAAGCAGTGAGCTTTGGGACGAGGTCCAATAGGGAAGCAAGTCCTAGGCCTGGGCAGAGGCAATGAGGAGATCGGGTCCAGTTCAGCCGAGCACACTAGATACCAAGGCAGACTGGTTCATGATCCTGCGCTAAGACATAAGGCAGCAACTCCTGACAGGCAGCTTGATGGGGCAGGAGTAGGCTAGGATTGACACTTTTTCTGAGATGATGCCCGCAAAGCCCTGGGGGCCTGGATGCCTGATGTTTGGCTGATCCTGTCCTCCTGGATCTCCTGGGAGAGACAGACAGTTCAACAAAGGCCGAGAGTCCAGAGCCCAGTAAGAGTGGAAGCCCAGGGTGTGACCTCGGAGGACAGATTTTTCTTCCCTATCCATGGAAGTAGGCAGACAGGCAGCAACTCGTAGCCAGAGGGACAAAGTGGCAGCTTCAGGCTGGGAGCAATGAGTGAAGCTGGGCTCTGGCAGGTAAAGGCTGTGCATTTCTGCATGCCTGAGCCCTCCTTTGCATTAATTACCAGCTGATGTGGTTTGCACTTCTCTCCCTTAGTGCTACTTTAATTAACAGAGATCTCCTCTGAGCAAACCAGCTGCTGTGTAAGTTGTCAAACTGTCAGCATGCACAGAATGGGTGTCATGGGGACATTGAGTATGGGAACTACTGATGGGCTCCCCATCTCCTTGGGACATTAGAATCTCCCCTTAGATCCACCCCGTAGTAAAAACGGGCAAAAGAATGTGAAGAGCAAGAAGTTGGCTTTGGATTCAGACGGATTTAGGTCTGAACTTTGACTATGGCACTAATTGACTCTGAGACTTTGGGCAAATCACTTAACCTCTCTGAATCTTCCGCACCTGCAAAATGGGGAGAGCAATACTTATTTTGTTACAAGCAATGTGGTAGATCATGTACAGTAACATGCTTCACTCAGTGCCTGTAGTGCTCAGTAAATGACTTGTTATTAAGTCCGTTTTCCTGGTCATCTAAGTATTTCCTATATTCCCTATTATGCCCTTTGTAAGCTTATTATGGCCTGAGAAGAATGTTTAACTTAAAACATACATGAGAAAAATCCCAAAGTTCTCATTATTAACTTTCTGGGTTTTGTTGTTGTTGCTGTTGTTTGTTTGTTTGTTTTCCCGAGATGGAGTCTTGCTCTGTCGCCCAGGCTGGAGTGCTGTGGCATCATCTCGGCTCACTGCAACCTCTGCTTCCCAGGTTCAAGCAATTCTCTTGCCTCAGCCTCCCGAGTAGCTGGGATTACAGGTGCCTGTCACCATGCCCAGCTAATTTTGTGTATTTTTAGTAGAGATGGGGTTCCATTATGTTGGCCAGGCTGATCTCGAACTCCTGACCTCAGGTGATCCACCCGTGTTGGCCTCCTAAAATGTTGGAATTACAGGTGTGAGCCGCTGTGCCCAGCCCAGATTTGTATTCTATTTATTCATTTATTTTTAGAGGGAGGATCTTGCTCTGTTACCCAGACTGGAGTACAGTGGTGCAATCAGAACTCATCGAAGCCTCGACCCCCTGGGATCCTGAGTAGCTAGAACTAAAGATACATACCACTATGCCTGGCTAATTTTAAAATTTGTTATAGGCCGGGTGTGGTGGCTCATGCCTGTGATCCCAGCACTTTGGGAGGCCGAGGTAGGGGGATCACTTGAAGTCAGGAGTTCCAGACCAGCCTGGGCAGCAGGGTGAAACCCTGTCTCTACTAAAAATACAAAGGTTAGCAGACATGTTGGCGTGCACCTATAGTACCAGCTACTCGGGAGACTGAGGCAGGAGGATCACTTGAGCTTGGGAGGTAGGTGTTGTAGTGAGCCAAGAGCTTGCCACTGCACTCCAGCCTAGGTGACAGTAGTGAAACCCTGTCTCAAAAAATAAAATAAAATGAAATTTGTTATAGAGATGGGGTCTCCCTATGTTGCCGAGGCTAGTCTTGAACTCTTGGCTTCTAGCAATCCTCCCTTCTGAGCCTCTCAAAGTGCTTGGATTACGGACATAAGCCACTGTACCTGGCCTAGATTTGTATTTTATCTCTCTATCTATCTATCTGTGTTTTTACTACACTGACATTTTAGCATTATGGTTTTGTTTTGTTTCACTCTTGTTGCCCAGGCCGGAATGCAATGACTCAATCTTGGCTCACTGCAACCTCTGTCTCTCAGTTTCAAGTGATTCTCCTGCTTTAGTCTCCTGAGTAGCTGAGATTACAGGCATGCGCCACCAGGCCTAGCTAATTTTGTATTTTTACTAGAGATGGGGTTTCACCATGTTGACCAGGCTAGTCTGGAACTCCTGACCTCAGGTGATCTGCCTGCCTTGGCCTCTCAAAGTGCTGGGATTACAGGTGCGAGCCACTGTACCTGGTCCCTCCCTAACCTCTTATTGCCCCCTTCTTTCTCTGCCCCCTTCCTAGACTTCCCAGATCCAATTAATATTAATTATGTAGCTTGTACCTCCTAAAGAGCTCTTAGAGAAGAGAACTCTACTTCTCTTCTCAACTGAGACTCTCAGTTTTAACCTAAATTCAAATAACAGCCCCCTAACTGGGTTTTCCGCATCCACTCCTGCTCTTTCTAACTTACTATTGACACCTCATCTAAATCTTTTAAAGATACAAAACCGAGTGAACCAAGAGCTTAGTGAACAACATGAGCCTCCTCAACAAGCCCAAGAGTGAGATGA